ACTTCAAATTACCTGAGGTCCAATTTGCCGTTCAGGAATTAGATAAGTATAGTCCGCGGCGCGAAGCGCCAGGCACAGCTTCAATTTACATGCGAAACAACTTACTCCCAGCGGCCGCGGGAAGCAACTTTGACTACATTTTTTTCACTTTACAGTTAAGTCTATAAATTTCTTTTTCTGCCTGTCCTATTTCCTCACCCCACAAAACTCTATAACCACCGTTTTTGCAGGACGAAATGCTGGGACTAAGGGTATATGAGTGGGGCTACATAAGCTACTTTTGCCTCGAATGCTAAACACGTAATTCAGAGGCCTGGGATAGATTTCAGATTAAATTTTCTTGTCAACCACTAGGAGGAGAAATGGAACTGCCTGGTTTAATTCAATTAGATGAGTAGGAGATCGTTGACAGCGAATGTATTCTTACTGTAGACTGAACTTTTTCGTGTTATAGGTTTAAGATCCGGCCGACCCGACGAGTTAATATCTAATGTTATAGATGTTGTAAATATAGCCAAAGCCGAGGTGGCACCGCCTTATTATGCCTTATGTGAGCCCCCAAGGAAGAACATGACAAGAAGAGCGCAAAAGCAGAAGTCTTTTAGCGTAATTAGTACAACATACGGTAGACGAACGTGTGTACGGTCATGTCCATCGGACCAATCAGCTGCTGCCCTGGAGCGAGTAGTTACGCCATCAGCTTAGCCTGGCTGCAGCCTTAATTGTCAAATTATTGATTGATTGTCAGTTTGCGTTTGCCGCGTTTAGGCGAATCGATAGCTGCCCGTGTGCGCGGCTCCCTGCCTGTCTGCTGGCTGCCTGCTCACGTGCCTGTTAAGGAGGCCCCTAACACTAGGTGTACCACGCACCCCACTAAGAAAAATACATGGCTCTAAGACCATTTACTTCCACGAACTAATCAGTTGCCCCTATTACCATTTGGTTTTATTGTTAAATTTAAGAGTAAAAACGCACATTTTAGCGTTATTGAAAATATTTTCTCAGCAAAGCTTGCCATTTCCATTCTGCTCCTTGCTGACTGACTGCTCTGTTACCCCTTTATTCTCTTTTGGTTTTTCAGCGCGGCGTCTCGATGTCACAGCCCCCGACGAAGCCCAACTTTAGGTGGGAAACTGGCTACGAAAAAACCTGGTAAGTTGACAGCCCATGGCGCCTGTAACAGCACACCTGTTTTATATACCGCTGTGCTGCAAGTAAACCATGATAAAAGTCTAAAAACGCCGGACATGGTCATAGTCGTGCCGGATGCGAGTACAAGTGCACTCCTGCGACCTTGGACGTGACTGGTGACACAGGCTACCACCTACACACTAATTGTCTTATAAACAGTAATCTTACACCGTGCTCCTAATGACTAATGCCAATCTCCACAGTAGTTACCAGTCTATCTCGTGAGATAGTCGAGTTCTGTATTGACAAGGTGTGCACTTTATTGTGAGAGTTAGCGTAAATCGCAGACTACGGCCTAGGAATCGTTGCGTGGGTGGTTTTAAGTCAACAGCCAACCTTTTTTTGACGTCCGTGTGAAGTAGATAAAGTTGGCTCCTATTATTAGGTCTTCTGAGAATAAAGGTTAACACTTACCTCTCAGCTTATAAATGTCATGTTGAATAATACGAGGAAGTAATCTATTCGAAAGTTTTGACAGGAAGTGCTGGACTCTTTGTAAACCAATTTGGCTGCAAGAGATTTCTCTCCGTCATCCTCTTTCGGACAACTATTACGTGTTTGGCTACACTGCTTGAACTGTCATTCGGCACCCGCACACGCGTAAAACATAGCTCATTTACCCTTCTATGAGTGAAACGGGCTTCTAACACAAGTTCATCGAAGAAGACGTGTCGAGCACCAGGTCAATTGATTTATTGTCCTGAGCTTTCGAACTCCTACAGGAGTCCATCTTCA